GCCAGGGCCGGCCGCTCCAGGGCTGCTAGATGTGCCCCCCGCTGGGACTGCTGGGGAGCCTCCGGCCCCGTGCGCGTGGCCCTAACAGACACGCGCACGCGCTCCAGGGTTCTGTTGCTGCAGGCGCAAGCTCTGTACCCGAGCTAGATGCGACACCCGCGGGCCAGGTGCTCCGTTCCCCCCCCCGGCCCGCGGCTGCAAGGGAGCCGTGACAGGCCGAAGGACAAGACGACAGAGGACGGGGTCAATAGCTAGAGCAGGGTCTCCAACCTTTCTAAGCACAAGATCACTCTCTGAACGTACGTGCAACCAGGACCCACCTCAGACCCAAATACCCGGCCCCACCTGTGGCGTGGGGGGGGCTGTCTGCTCTGTGACCCGCGGTCCCCTGCGCTGGGATGGGAGATTCCCACTGACTCGCACATGTGGATTAACCCAGACACCCAGGCTCAGCCGCCCAGGCAGAGACAAAGGGAGGGGGGTGGAGACCAGCACCGGGCTGGGGGGCAGGGCTGGAAGAGAGTTTGAGTTTCTGTCTGGAATCATGGAGGAAGCAGCCTAGGAAAGGGGCTGGGATTTAGGGGCCCAGGCTCCCCCATCTCAAGGGGGCTGAGGCATCCTAGGCCTGCCCTGGAACCAGATTCCATCTGTGCTGTGCTGTATCCTGGAGAAGCAATAAACTCCCTCTGTTCGACTGGCTGGGGGGGGCTTCGTGCCATTACGGGGGTGCAGGAGTCGGGGGAACCCCAACGCGCCGTCACACTGAACATACGTGCAACCCAGGACCTGCCTCAGACCCAAATACCCCTGCCCCACCCCAACCCGTCTTGGAGGTAATCAGCCTTTTCCACCCCTCCCCTTGAATCCTGAGCTGTTTGAAGCCAGATACCGGTGGCTCCCGACTGGCTGAGGGGTGCAAGGGGCTGGGAAGGAGGCTGCTCCGGGCCCGGGGGAGCGGAGATCCGTAGCCCAGGCTGGAGAAGGGAGTTGGGGTCCAAGGGGCTCAGGGCTAGGGCAGGGGCTTCAGGTGCAGGGGGCAGTTCGAGACTGGGGCCGGGGTTTGGGATTCTGGCTCCAGCTGGGCCCTTCTGACCTCAGGTGGCTCCTGGGTGGGGGTGCAGGAGGGCTAAGGCAGCTCCCCCCTGCCCTGGCCCTGCACCACTCCCAAAAGCAGCCAGCACCCTCCCTCCATCCCAAGCCCTGGTGTGCCCCCCCATGCTTTCTGGGGAGATAAAATACAGGGTGGGAGGGGGCACCCTGACATCAGCACCCCCTCTCCCTTCCTCCCGGGGGGGGAAGCAGCTCCAAGGCAAAGGGCAGGAGGTGCGCAGCTGTAGGGGGAGGGGCAGCTGAAGTGCCGGCACTTGACAGCCTCTTGGCCGAACCAATCAGGATCACCCGTCAGCGGCTCCAGGTTCCCCTGTCAGAGGCTCCAAGATCGACCGGTAGATCCCGATCGACTGGTTGGTGATCGCTGAGCTGGGGAAGCCAGGGCCACCAGGGCAGACCTCCACGTGCAGAAGCTCTGGCCTGTGCCCCCAGCTGTGCAGGACCCTCTCCATGAGCCAGGCTGGGACATCTCGTGAGCAGAATGGGCAGCAGAGCAGGAAGAGACAGAACAGGCATCCCCTGCCCCTGC